TGGGTGTGGTCTGTGGTGTACTGGTGTGTCGATGTTATCTTATATAGTGTCTCGCATGTAATCCATAGTTACATATTGATTGGAAAAGCCGTAATATTTTTTCAAAAATATCTATTAAAGTACAAACCATTAAAAGCTAGTATTTATTTTATTTATTTAATTTATTTTATTATTACCTAATTTTGTTAAAAAATTTAAAAATATTATCAAAATAAAAAAATAAATTTGGAAACCACTAAAAAAAATATTAAGTGGAAAAGTAACACGAAATTCTTCCGGGAGGCAATTCGTTCAAAAAGGTTCGTTTACCTTGCTTGGTACAGGGGCGGGTTTAAGGGGGTGGCTAAGGGGGCAGTAGCCCCCCCCCCCATGGGACTAAGCTAACTATTTTGCAAAGGCAAGTATTATGATATATTGATTATTGATATATTAATAATTGTTTTTCGTTCGACGACTGACGTCTGACATGACGTGTAATATTATTATGAAAATATATATATAATAATATACAACTAACTAAATTCTTGAACCTCTATTAGCCCCCCCCCCCCTTGGTGAGTGATAAAACCCGCCCCTGGCTTGGTACGCAATTCGTGTGCACCGAGCTATAACCGTACTAAAATCAGATGAATAAAAAAAAAACCAAATGTAACCCTTTGTAAATTAGCCTGTCATCTTCCCAGAGGTCTAATCTACCCACAAACATTAATTTATATACATAAATACATCTAACTATATAAATATACCGAATATAACTATACAGACTAAACTCTGCAACTACTTATCAGATCTTCTTGTATATATTATATTATATATATATTATATATGTATATTGACAAAAGATAATAATACAAATCAACAAACATGAGCGATTAACCAATAGCAACCAATATATTATGTACCGGTGGATTTTCCTACAATTTTCTGTCATATAAACCTTCTCCGTGAAATCCTTTTTCGTTTAAAAAAAATCAAGAAGAACTGATAAGTAGTTCCAGAGTTCAGCCTGTACAGAGATTTTCATTTCTCCCTTTTTAAATTAGCCTATCTTTTAATTTTGGTCAAATTACAAATATTGTAAAAATTTCACCAAGATCGGTCAAGTAGTTTCGGAGTTTATTCCGGACAAAGACGTGACAAGAGATTTTTATATATAAGATATAAAGATAAATTATAATCAATCTATCGCGGACCGTCACTACAACTGACCGCTCCCGTTTTCTTTTTGTTCCATCCTACCAATCGATCTAACAATGCGATAATATTTCAGAAAACAGGTTAGTCCACATTTTAAGATTTCTGATTTAAATTCCAAATAAATCCCGAATAATCAACGTTTGAAAATACCGAAATTTCAAAATATTCAAGCTAAATTTTTAGAGGTTGACTTTTATAGTAAGTTGTATAATAATATTACTAAACCAGAAGCCCGGTAACATCAGAATATAATACCTAGGGAAATTTTATACTAAACAAAATATTTGTAAGCTTAATTCTATATAGTTTATACTTTTATTCGTTAAAATAATGTTTTAATATCGAAGGAAAATATCACAGAATAAATAAATAAATAAATGAATAATGTAATGCTTTTGTTTTAATTTACTTTCATTTATTCTATGGTTTTAGTGGTTTTACGTTAAAATACTCGTCCAGTGGGTGACATAATATTATATCTAGTGATGTATTGCTAAAATACATATTGTGTATAAACGCGTTTTTCACTTATAGGTAGGCGACAATGGTAAAAAAACCTTATCGTTGTGAAGGTCAAAAAAACAATTTCTAGCCTTCATCAGAAATAATTAATTTCTTCCAGCTTTATTATGACTATCAAGTACTTAATACTTTCGAAGATGGTATTTTGTGGATATTTACTGTAATACTTTTCTAAACGTCAAAAGAAAAAAGCCTCAAATTTATAACACATTATATTTATGGAAACTTATATTCATAAAAAATTAATATATACCTATAAACGGTACAAACTTGATGAAAAGTCAAAATATTTTTTTATACTTAATCACCTAATATCTGCTGAATAAGTACCACCTGAGAATTGAAAATTACAAATAATTATTATATTATTGGTATTTTAAAATACAGTGTGTAAACGATAATTGAGAATACTCAATATCTTTGCGTAGAGCTCTGCAATTTGAATTCTGATTTCTTGTTGGTTGTTATAACATAAAAATACACCTTTTTATAGCCTTTGAATTTTTTTTAACTTAATTAGACTTGCGCATGCGCAGTACAACTTTTTTTTCTTAAATGGCAACCACCTATTTTAACCACTAATTATTTTTTGCTCAATTTTTTAATGCATGTTGGTGGTTTAACCAACTTCCCAAGTCCAAAATGTACCAAGTTACAGCCAATCAACAAAAATACTGCAAAATATGCGAAATTTTTAGATTTTTTACTGTAATTCTGAAAATAATTATTCTTCAATTCTTTAGGCTTAACATTTCCATCCCTAATTATTTAGGTAATATTTAAGTGATACTTAAATAAATGAATCTATTGATATTTATTAATAATTTATTCTTCAGTCAGTTGATTGCATGTTGCTATTATTAAATCTTTTAAATTTCGAAGATTTATAGGAGGGTCGGCATACATTAAACTATTAATAAATTCCAATAGATCCATTACATGTAACATAATAAACAACATATTTATTTATGTGTCACATAAATATCACCTAAATAATTAGGGGTGAAAATGAATTTAAGAAAAAAAGTTGTACTGCGCATGCGTAGGTCTAATTAAGTAAAAAAAAATTCAAAGGCTATAAAAAGGTGTATTTTTATGTCATAACAACCAACAAGAAATTAGAATTCAAATTGCAGGGCTCAAAGCAAAAGATATTGAGTGTTCTCAATTAGCGTTTACACACTGTATACCTAAGTACCTACTTTAAAAATTTTAATAAAGTTTTATCAATAAATTATAAACAAATTATTAAGAAATTATTTAATTTGTTAGATGGGTTATTAGTTATTACACATAAGAGTAGGTACCTGAATAAATACCTCAACAAATTTTTGTTAAAATTATTGGTGGATTTATATTTTCATTTTTTTTAAAATGCGTTTAAAAATAGGAAATGTAGAACTTTCAACTCTCGAAAAGTGGGCTTAATTCTAACTATTGTTGTAACTTGTAATAGTTGTAATCATAGGCACATATATAGAGTCTTCCGAGATCATTTCGATCACCATTCTTATGTTGTGAAATTCACTTCTGCAGTCATCGGGTCCGTAATCACGAAAAATAAAATTATTATTATTATAATTTATAATTAGGGCAACTATTATCACTAAAGTTCTCAATTAAGCTGCGCAGATAACACTATTTATTTCAACACCCGATATTAACTACGAAAAAATCATTATGAACCAACAACGCTTATAATATATTATGTAATATTATTTAAAAATGTGAAGTACCTGTAACTATTAAAAACACGCTGTCTTGCAGTGGTGCAAATAGGAAAAATGTTTAGGGGGGACTCAAGCTCCAAAGAAAAAGTTTTTAAATTATAATAATTATTATATTATTTTTTTTTAGGGGACCAAGCCCCCTTATGCAAACTCCTATTTGTGCCACTGCTGTCTCGTTTAAAAAATATAACTGGTACCTATATGAACCTATACCTATAAATGCCCTTTCGTCGTTGATTACGTCTTGTTCACACGAGTTCATATATTTGAAAGACGGGAGCCAAAAAATCACAATTTAGGTATTTCAAAAGACATAGGCGCCTACAAACTGGAAATTTAAATGTCATAATATAATTGATAAATTTGTTTCGCAATGTTTCGTTTTATTTTACATGACATTATGCCAGCATTAATATCGATTGCCTTGAAACGGCTGCGTGAGAGTAGGATTTTGATCAGTATTTTCCTGGTATAAAAAGTACAACTTTTATAGAAGGCAATATTATATGTGTTACATTATTTACATTATTATAAATTCTCTCGCCATTTTAAAAACAACAACAACTGTGAACTTTCCACCTTGGCGAACACTGCACACTTTAAATATAGCTTTAGGTTAATGGCTGAATATCGAAAAAAAGTTCACTGACGGCTGTACCCAAATATTAATGCGCTCACGAGCGATTGAACGTAAAACGGTGTCAAATATAGTGAACCGATAAAATTTATTGTAATTACCAGCCTATTATATGTTATATAATTGCCAAATTATAATTATTTTGACCGTACGTGGCTTATTGATTATTTTCACTGTGTCTGATTTGAATTATTAATTAATCATTATTATACCTACGCTATAAAAATATATACCTATATGCCGAGATGCGCCATAGATAGCAGGTTTTGTGATAATGAATAATAAAATATAATATTTATAAAATTAATTGTACATTAAAATGCAATAAGAACCGATATCATAATAATATTACATATTTATATAGGTAGGTACCTAATATAAAATATTTATACTAAACAAATTCGGTATTGAACGGTTCACTATAGATCATATAATATTATCGTGATTTAAATCGGATCGGTCGCGTCGACATTTTCTTTGTTTCTATCCACCGAAAGCCTCTCCGCGCTTGTAACTATAATATATTATTTTCTGTCACTCATTTTAAAAACGGAAAACCGGAAAAAATAAACCAACGATGTTTTTTAGACGGACGATCCGATGGAATATTATTATGATACTTATAAACGTGTTATCATAATATTATTATAGCTAATAAAGTCTATGTACCTAGGCATCGAGTTTATTGACCAAACTAGTTTCCCGTCTCCACTAGTCGCGATCCGTGGCGGCAGTGGCGCTTTATAGAAATAGGCTCGACTTAGGTAGCTCCTTCTCGCGGTCAGTGTCCGTTACGGCTCCACGCCGCAAGTACGTTCGCACACCGTCTCTTCGGTCGGGAATAGAGACAAATATTTTATTAAAAAAATTAAACTATTTTCGTATAGCAACCGCCGTTTGCTTTGCCTTGTGATATGTTTTCTCGATCCGTTTCCGCGCGGAAAACAATGATTTTCGCCGCCGCGCTTATCGTTTCGATATCTGTTGGCGTCGCCGCCGGTGGCAGACCCTTCGACAGACCCTTCGGCAGACCCTTCAATAGACCCTTCGGCATGTGCGGACTCCAGAAAAACACAGTCGTCGAAGAATTCAAACTCAGCACTCTGTACCCTATGTTCGGCGAAATGTGAGTACACGCGTCATGATATATATATATTTTATATCTTTAGGCATATGCAGTGTTTTAGAAGGAGCTAAAGTACCTGCGTTCTGTGGTTCTGTCCTCTTATTTTTCGAACTTTTTTTTGCCGGCCCCTATTCATATCCTAATCAATAAGACATTTAAATCTTCGCGTAGGTGCGCACATTTTTATTCACACTTTTGCCCCCCCCCCCCTTCTAATTTTTTTCAATGAAAGCACTGTATAAGCACTGTAGTCTGTAGCTACCACCAGTGGCGTGCTGAACATTTGTATACCATGATGCCCAGCATATATAGTACATATTATAACTATTATGTGACTGTAAATATTTAATTTTTGTTTTATGATATTGGTAACTATAATGCATCCAACCGCCCCATACCCCCTAAAAAAATTCCACCATGAGCCTCATAAAACCCCGTTCACCACGTCACTGCCCACCTCTCTCATAAAATAATAAAATTGTAAAAACAAGACAAAATCGACGAACGCGATAATAATACAAGTAATAGGTATGGGTATAATACTCGATAGAAAAACGCGCAGATAGGAGGCGCAACGAAAAGTCGCTAATCAGTGTACAGACTGCAGTGATAAGTCTGCGATATGTTTACAATGACCTTAACGTTGAACTTAAATTTTCACATGCATTTTGTGGTTTTTTTCCTTTAATATAATAGTCTGACTGTCTGAGCATTAATTTTGACAAACTATTTTGCACCTAGTTTAAAAAAAAATTATGAAGTTACTAAAAAAAATACTAGCTTTCATATTAATAGAATCTTTTAAATCTTCTATAATACAGCATACCTACCTATTATCTTAATATTTTATTAATAATTTATGGAGCACAACAACATTAAAACATTTTACATTACTATAATAATAGTGTAATACAGAAAACACAATTATTTTGAAGGTGATACTATTTTGAAATACCTAGTAGAAAATTTAATCGTAAGGTGTTTAGGTAAATTTATGTATGGAGTACTGAGTAGTGAGTACCTAACGATTAACTGCAGAGTTGGGCCAATTACGTATATGTTGGTAGTTTGGACAGTTTGGTACCTACAAGTATTTTTAGTAGAAAATAGTGAGTGTTGATCGCAGAATTGAAAATTAAACTCCTGAAAAAATACAAAACAGCGTGGAATAACAATTTTTATTCATGGCCACATTCGCATAGATATTTCATATTCATACATAATAATTTACATATTATGTTAAATTGAACACGTGGATTTAAATTGTTCTATGTTAAAACATTGTGCTAATGGCTAGTGGCTAGATTACTATATTATATTTGTCGATGTAATGCTTAAGCAGTTTCGGCAGCTTCGTCGACGCCACAAAAAAAATAAAAAATATCTATGTATTTAATTATTATTATTAATATTATTATTTTTTGACTATTTATATCAGTATAATATATGTCCTATATTGCAATTCGTAGGTACCTACGTAGTAGGTGCATATACTTAATAAATTAAAACATCAAACTGTCTTTATCTATGACCAATATTAAGACGCTACCCATACATTTGTTGTCTCATCAATTTTCGACAAATTGTATCAAACATTTACATTATAAGGACGTTACACCGACATTTGCTGTCTCCGTCTTACAAGTGCTTAACATAGCAAATTTTAAGCTCATCAGATGACGTTTAGCTCAGTTATGAATTGACCTCAAAGCATGTAAAGTCTGAAAGGTAAGATTATCATTTAGGCCCTAGGGCATCTATTAGGCTATTTGTTATATTTTTATTTTAAAGCGAGTTATGAGTATTTTAAAATGTACAAATAATTTACAGTTAACTATCATAATTTGCTTTAAAATTAAAATATAATGAAAAGCCGATAAGATGCCCTAAATCAGCGGTTCCCAAACTTTTTTAACTCACGGCGCCCTTTTTGAACTAAACTTTTCTCAAGGCGCCCTTCCCAAGACATAGTATGAATTTATTTTTAGACCAGGTAAATTTCTACGGCGACGCGGCGGCCCTGAAAAGACATCGCGGCGCACCAGGGCGCCGCGGCGCACAGTTTGGGAACGGCTGCACAGTGGTCGAAAAACTAAAAAAGGTGGCCAAAAATGAATAACTGAAACTATGATATTTATAAATATCCAATTATCATTGAAATACATTTTTATTGGTATAAAATATATTATAATTTATTTTAATGATTATTTTTTTTCTGAAATGTATTCTGGTTCTTCATCACTGCAATAATTAATGTCTAGCAAAAGATCTTCGACTTCTGGGAGCAGTTTTTTTAGATTATGTTTATCAACCATGTGTAGTACTATTTGTGAATATACACTCATGAATATTTCCACGTGTAATTTTATTTAATAAAGCCATGGTTAAAAATAAATATATTATTTCACTATAAAGAAAGATAATACCAAAATGGTATACACTCAATTTGAATCACTGGTTAAAAAAAATAGCGCAAATATGCGCAGCTAATTTTTATTTAGTATTGTTCACTGGACTTTTCCCAACGAACTGATATAATTTTCGTCGTGTAACTCGATGAATAAACATACTAAATATCTACGTTTTTAATGACATATAAGTTTAATTTAGTTTTATGACAATATTTTATCAAATATATTATGGTACACACGCTCACGTACCTTTATCTATCATTATATATATACATATATATCTCTCATATCACATTTTATAAGTACCGACGATAATCACTCAATTTAATACCATAATTAACAGAGAACTTATGTTAATTATATTTCGACTATTTACAATACATCGATGTTTTATCAACATTATATTTATGCTATATATAGCATTTTATGTACTTAAATTAGTGTTTTGTCAAAAAAAAAATATTTTTAAATACAATAGGACTTGTACAAACATTTTATTTTTAGAAAATTAAAGTTTTCTAATATTTAAAATAATGATTTTTGGCCACCTATTTTAGTTTTTCGACCACTGTGCGCTGCCCTAGGTAATAATTTTACCTTTAAATTTTGTAAGAGGTCTATTCACTCTAATTTTTAAACTAACAGAGCTAAACGTGATCTGCTGAGCTTTAAAATAGGTAGCAATGTTATGCACTTGCAGACGGAGACAACAAATGTCTGTGTAGCGTTCTCTTAATTCAACATTTGAAAAACCTAGTTTTAAAGGAACTTTATTCAAGTTTATGGTAAATAATTGTATATTATTCATCCAAAATTCAACAATTTTTACAATAAATTTGGTAATTAAATACTATTTTTTTGTATATTATTGTGAGTATATATTATACTATATGTGCATCAATGTATGTGCACATCTTTTAGTTTTTTTTTTAATGCCAAGTCCCTGCAAGCCTTGTTTATAAAAATTTTATAAGGTTACTTTCAGGGTTTAGTTTATATTATTTTATTACTTTGATTTCGAATGGACACTATCATTCTGAATATTAGTTAAGTATTATAATTTGTTTATCGTTTAGACTGAAAATATATAGTCTTATATTATGAATATCTGAAAATTAACATGTTTACAATGTGTCTGTATATTCTATAAGCGGTATTCATATTAGTAAATAGTGACTATAAAAATATGTTATATCATCATCCAGACATCAGTAAAAAGCAATATTAACGGTTTAGATCACGGTTATTCATTTGGATTGTATAGTACAACGACTTTTTTGTTTTTAATAAACTAGATATCGATTACATAATATAGCAGATAATAATTAATTTGGTATAATCGATAAATCATTGTAGTTATGAATAGTTCGAACAATAATTCATAATGTATAACTGTTGGTTTGTTTCTACTTTAGTTTGTACCTATATTGACGAACTATAGCGAAGCACTATAATCGATCAATGTACCCACCTATGTTATTACTCGGTCAGGTGTGGGTTTAATAAAAATATAATATCGTTGGGTTAATTTTTAAGTTGGGTATACTGAAACACGAATTCCTGAATATCTCATGTCAAAAACCTAATGGATATGTTTGTCGTTCCCATCGTAACCGCTGGACGAGTAAAAAACGGATTTTTAAGGTATTTGTGCGTACATTAAGAATATACAGGGCGATCCATTTAACGTAAGACACTTTATCGTTTGACCATCTACTTTTCGTATAGTAAGTGTGTTACGTTAAATTGATCACCCTGTATAATATGTATTATAAAACCACGTCTTAATTTATTACGACGTGACGTTAATCGTTAGAGATTTCATCAGAAATATTAAGAGGCCGTTCTGGTAACAAAATTCGGCCTAAGAAACATGCTTTCGTATACTTAAAATTTTCCGTCATAGCCGTAGAAACACGATTCTTTCACCAAAATAAAGGTGAGAAGTTTTTCTAGTTTTTGTCAGTGTTTAATATTAAAAGAAAAAAAAAAACGTGTTTGCAGTGACTATCGAGGTTGTGTAAGTTTCTAGTTTCGATCGACAAAAAATTAACTCAAACGTGAAATCCTAATCGAAATTGTCAAAGAATTAAAAATTGACGAATTGATCTGGTAGATAACTAATCGAAAAAGTTATCAACGTTTTCAACAATCATTATAATAATAATAATTAGGATGTTATTTTTTCGATCCTCCACAGTGTTTTCGTAAAAAAATATGAACAACCATAGCTAACGACTATTGTTCTAACTTCTAAGACTTTCTAAAACATAAAGAATTGTGTCATTAAAATCTATACATGAATATTTCGATCTATATTATACTCTTATTTTTAAAATATATAACATGATAATGTGTTACAGTTAAATTTTGCATGACAAACTTCAGTCTTCAGGTGGTGAAAACCAAATTTTAGGGCATCGAAAGGAAAACCTATGCTTAACCATAACATAACACTACATACATACATATAATATTTGTTGGTGGGGGTAACGATTTGGTTCAGGGTGGCAATGGGGGAGCACGTTGTCCCCTCTACTGGCCTGGGCACCAATGATTTATAGTATATTATTACATAATATGTTTAATATTATAATTGCATGGACGTTGTACCTACATATTTTATGTAATAATAAATCAATTTTCCATTAAGATGCAATATTTATAGCAGTTGTATTATAAACAGATAAAGGAAAACAATACATTCATATAGGTTATGTACTAATGTATTATTGTTGTGGCGCCAGAGCCGTACCGGGCCATTTTTTTATCCTGAGCCAGAACTCAAGCAATGCGCCCAAAGAATATTGATTGAGTATATAATGGCAATTTGAATATTTTGCTATTTTTCTGACATGTTAGCTCCAGTGTCGTACCCTTGTCCCCTTACATTTTGTGCATCCAAGTTCTAATATTAATTCAATAATTGTAAGGCAATAGATGAGTAATCAATGAAGAAATACATTTTATATTAAAAATATAATATTATATGTTTACAGATGTCGGATCGGTGTGTAGTAATGAAAAATATAATATTAATAATATTATTATACTGCCAATAATATTTTTTTTAAGTTAACGATTAGATATTTTTGCTCCCCCCCTCCCACCAAGGATCAGGCGCCAAAGGCAAGTGCCAAGTGCCTCGTTCGCCTCATCCTAATTACGGCTCTGTTGTCTGAGTGTCCAACTAGATAAAACTATGATAAAAAAATAAAATTTACATACTGGTGCCGTATGTTATACTCTGAACTTATATAAGTTGGTTGGTATAATATGATAAAAATAAATGTGTAAAACTAGTTTAACGAGTACCTATTTCGTACATATCTCACATTTTCTAAGGTTGTTGGCAGTTGTCCCATAGAATATTAATATTAATTTTTTTGTATCTATTTGATTTCTAGATAACGTATAGCACTATAATAGCCGTATAGGTATAAAACTGAATAATAACTTAAAGCCGAATAGTTTGAATAAACATTTCTATGCAACAATACGCGTAAAAACAAAAAACCGCTTAATAAATTAAAGTGACGGTCACGATTTCATCCTAAAAAAAAAATATATATACCTAGGTACTGCAGGTTTGCGCCGTCACTCGTCAGGTTAAAAACATTTTACCATGAAAATAATTGTTTAATTTGGTTTGACTATCATAGAAGTATTATATTTAGTACTATTATTTATTCTCTTTTGGAACTGGGTAGGTATGCGTGCAAGGAATTTTTATTACACTTATATAGACTTTTTTTTATTTGAAAATAATATATTTACAATCTATACGACAAGGTATAATTATTAAGTGTGGTGGCATAAAATAACATTTGACGTAAAATAACATTAATTGAAGAGTAGGAATGCTCTCAGCAGTGCCGCCTGACAAGAAATAATGACCAAAGTTTCTTTAGGTCGTATTTTGCATATCTGTTCCTACATCATCATAATAATACTATTACGTTTCAACATTATTATTTATTGAGTTTGTATTTAATTTCGAAATCGAGTACTGTTCAGTGTTCACCACTCTATAATATATAATAATATGTAATAAAAGTATAAACATAATACGATACGTCGTATGACTTATGTCCTTGAATATTCTATTCTTGGCAACTAATCATTACTAAGTTATTAAAATGTACCAAGTCTTGCCTTAGATATTGCTAAGTATTTCCTTATTTAAACGTAGGTATAAATGAATTAATGCATAGATAGACCGGCAAAGTTGACTTATCTTAATGTCATTATTTATGCTTAAAAGTCAAATAATAATGTATGGTGCGCTATATCGAACGAATTAATAGTTTTATTCTATATTTTAATCATAAATTGTTTATCGTATTTTAATACCTATTATTAATGAAAAAAATATTTTCTATCCAGTATTTTGTACAGATAAAATTAATGATTATTATATTCATTATCGGTTCAATTTAAATTTGTTGTAATAAAATCGATGAACTATAAAATAAAATATTATTTAAAGTAGATAATTGATAAAATTATAATTTATACGCCTATGCAACTAAAAACATATATTATAACTATTATATTTTTAGTGTTTATGTCCATATACAATTTCACTGGTATATTAATAAATTGTTGTAGGATTAAAATTTGTTTAATATTATGTAATAATTTATAAAATCTATACAAATCTTAAATTTACAATCAATTATGATTTAATTCATATACAAGAAATATACAGAGTAATCCATAAAATATGTGTTCCTAGTGTCTCTTCACTATAGCATCTAGATTCTAGGTATATCAATCAACGAAACTTATATTTTTTAACGTGTGTAATAGATAGCCTATAATCCTAAATAAAAAAAATATTTTGTTTTATACCCTGTCAGTATTTTTTGATATCGATATCAATCAATATCGTTTTCTGGCAGAAAATTATTTTTTATATAATATGATTAGGTAATATTACCAATGTAGTACCTATTAAAACTTAAGTGAAACGAAGTTAAAATTATTATAATTGTTAAATTGAACTTTTTCTTAAAATGGTTTCATTGAATACCCTGCATACTCACAATGTCCAAAACTATAAATTGCATCAATTAACTTTGTGGTTAAATTTAAGAATTAGGTACACCGAAAATAGGTCTGTTACAAATATAAATACAGGAAAATTTTATAATTTTATAAAATAAATTGAAATCTAGCACGGGCCAGTGAAAAATGGTACGTGGGCCTTCAGTTGTCCATCCCTTCTATACAGTACCTATATAGGTTAAAGCTGTTCACTGTAATGGATGGTATTAAATTTGAATTCAATGATATAATATCATTATTGTATATGAAAAATGATTCTGGACGGAGACGGTTTGTCAGTCTAGGACATTTTATACTATATTTATATTGTTATTACTTATTATTAATACAGTAAGTAGAATTAATATTATAAATTTATAAAAAATAACTAAAATCGTTATTCGTGCCTCTTGCACTGCAAATATGTAATCTCGTTCAAATTTTACCTTAAAATAATTAGAAAAAAAACTGTGTTTATATCTTTTTTAGATATTTTTGGTTTCAGAATAACCTTCTTACGTGGAAACCTGTTTTAAATTTTCAATCCTATTAGCTATGAAAGTTGAACATTTTATAAATTTTTAACTACAAAATTATTTTAAATTTATATGCTTATAAAAAGAATTGTGTCTATGTAGGTATTTTTAATATTTTTCAACTTCTATTGTAACAATACATCAGGAGTCTTGTATTTTTACGTTTTTTGACCCAATACAAATACAATTTTATTGACATTTATAGAAGGAAAAAAACTAAAAAAATTGGAAACTGAAAATGTTCGTAAACAGCTCAAAACAAGTCAAAATATTTTTAAAATGTTATCAAGTATAGAAAATGATAAAATAAACATAGGATGTAAATTGCAAGTATCTACTGTTGTTTGTTTTTGAATTACAACAAAGAAGAAAATCGCCACATGAAGAATCGAGTGCATAATAATATATAAAACTTTAGACGCTCATAAAAATTTAATTTGACTTTCGGGTAGAGATTTTGTTTTTGAGTAAGGTAGACAAACTTATGAAGATACTTATGGTATATAGAAAATGCTAATATAAACATTCAGTGAAAATTCCATGGTCATTTGTCTTAGAGTTACACCGAAAACCAAAATCGATTTTGTCGAAAACCGATTTTGCGTAAAAAATACTGGGAATGTTGACCTCTTTAATGACCGTCTATATAGATTCACTTTCCCATCAAACAAGACACTGAAATTTAAAATCAAATCATTTTAATATCCCAAAAAGGTAATGAAGGACACAAAAAAAACCACATATAATTTATTGTAAAACCAATACATTCATCGCTCCGCTCAGAATCTAAAATGTTATACAACTTCACAAACACGAGAAAACTCGATATGGCCATATATGGTAGTGTAGGAGTAACGGACCTACTGATAATAACTTTATTTCTATGTAAATATATTATACATAATTCATGGTTTTTATTATAATTATTTAAATTAAACAAAAACAGTCGTATTCTGAAATGTATTTATAGTTTACTATATTATGAATTATAATATTGTTTATTATTGAAAATAATAAATCCTGTAAATATTCTAAATAAAAACACAAAATATGTTGTAATTTCGATGTAAATGCGTGTTAGGGTGTTGAACATTTTTTTAACGTATAATATTCACCTAAAGACATTGATTATAGTGATGACTGATTGCATTTACACAAATACTTCTATCATAATAGTATGTATTTACAGTAAATAGGTATAGGTAATTTAATAATTATTAGGCTATAGCTATGACCATAAACTTTATAATTATAATTATGTAATTATTAAAAATATAATACCTACTGAATTGTTTTTTATTCATATCGTTATTTATCTAAACATCAGAGACGGAATCATAAATATATTATATATAAATATTATAAATATTATAAATATATAATAATTAATAACCTGCAATGTATAAAATAAAACTTTTTTTTTTAATATCGTCTTTTATTTTTACACATAGACTAACAACTGAATCGAATGACAACATTTATGTCGTTTCGATTTGCCAACCTGTACCAAGAATGTTCTATGATCCCAGAAAATTGTCTGGTGCTATTAAATTGACGCCCGAAGGGCACACGGTCGATCTTGGACATATCGACCAATCCAACGTCATCGTTAACGGTTTGATTTTATTAACTGTTTTAAAATATTGCTTAAATATGTTTTACCCCGTTTGTTACGTTTTTAGAGAATAGTATTGTGCTTACATACGTCGGTGGTGATCGAGATAGAGATGTACAAGACACGTGCAAAGGTCTGAGATGGACAACGTATCTGACGTTCGTATGTGATCCGACAGCAACCCACGTAAGTTATGATTTGGAATGCTCGTTTTAAAAATAAATGCATCCAACGACTTCCAAAACCAATAATGCAATATAAAAATGTAAATTACAATTGCAGTGTTCAGCGCATATACTATATAAATTATAAGCATTGCTAAATAGTCAATAGCCAAAAGTTAAATATATTTTTAATATATCTATAACACTTACTTAGATTAATTTTCAATAAAACACTGGTTACAAGCAACTCTTCACTTTTAGATTTTACGTAGTATTTTAGTAAAATTACGTACCAACAGATATAAATAGGGACATTCACTAATATTAAGAGTAATTCATTAAAAATTTTTTTAAAAAATATATATTTTTGGTTAGATATAAAACATTTTTTTTTTCAAACATCTGTTCCTAACTTCCAAATTTATATTTATTTTTATAATTTGAACGGAAAACTGTGTTTTACACTTTTATTTGTATGCGCATAATCACATGATGAAAACTAAATTAATTATTTCATTCATATTTAAAAAATTGAAAATTTATATTGTTCTCTGTACCTACTCATTTATAACGAAAATTGAGTATGTTTTTTGTTGGTACATCATCGTTTCAGGCTTTAATGCTATTCAAGTAACGGAAAAAATGCTAACTTTTGGTTTTTTGTTGTTTCGACATTATAAGTTTTCATCAGTTTTCACTAGTATAGCGAGTACACAGCGTTTTAATTTAATTAGCCTTTCGGCTTTCGCTGGTTAAAATATTATTTCATATACTTTTTATTTTTATCTTTTACCTGTCATTAATGATTATGTTTAATACTACCTACCTAATTTCAACGTCATTAGTGCCATGTGAGCGTTTCACTGACATAAAAATACTGTATTACACAAAGTTGCAATTTTTATCATGGTTTTAAAAAAAAACAACAAACATTGACCTATAACTATAATCAAAATATAAGTTTTTGAAAGCAATTAAAAAAACTAAATAATTATCTATAAATTGTAGGCAATAATTACCAAAAATGTATAGAAAAAAATAAATAGCATAACAATGTGTTAAATTATTTAATTAGTGTTAAGCTTTTTTTTTTTGACTTCATGATTTTGTCTTTATCAAAACTAGTTACGCTTTTAATATTGTTTTTATAACATGTCAGTAAGTCAGTTTATAATTTATATACTAAATAAAATATCTTATTATGTTTTAGGATATTTTAACATTGATTGACGAAGATCCCGATCAACCTGAAATATGTCAAGTGTGGTTTACAGTAATAACGTCTAAAATATGTAACCGTCAGCCACATTTACCATTAGTGATTATGGAAAAAGATTTTTCTACTCTAAAAAATCAGGTAACCAAATATATGGACAGTGAAGGGGAATAAATAGCATTTTTTTATATTACTAATATAAATACATACCTTATACTCGTTTTAAACCAGCATTATTGCTGCAGAGATATTTTTTTAATACTCATACTGAGATAAAAAATTCTATCGTACAAAATATTGAAATTTTTTAATTATTAAATCAATACCGCCTTGATTTATACGAAATTAACCAGGTAGGTATAAGGAATTTTAAATTGTAATGTAATAAGAATTGCAAATCACAAATGCATATATTCAATTCTTCGAGATTAACAATAATAAATGTAGCAAAAAACCAACATTGAAAAAAATCTGTTTCAGTAAAAAAAGTTAGGTTTATATTTTAAAAGTAAATTAAATTTTACCTACATGGTCTAATTTAAAACACTTTTTTCCACATATTATCCGTTGGTCTATCTTTTTTCAAAACGAAATATTATGTATCACCTATTTTTTATATATTATTCACTATTAGACCTTATATGGTTGTCAGAGAGTTGATTTTATTTTCATTCTGAATCACGTGCAATATAGCAAATGTATGTTAAGTAGACCCAATCTATATTGTGTTGTTAGTTTTGTAATATTAAAGAAAATTTACGTATTATCAAACTAAAAGTTAAGAATATTATCTGTGTTTTTATTTTTACAATACTCCATGATCTATGCTAGTCATTATAAGTAGGTATGTAAAAAAATACAATTTAATATACTGTATAATAAATTGCATAACAATTGAAATATCGTAAAAAAGCCAATTCACAAACAAAGTTAATGTTCTTAACTTTGAGCTTAATTTCTATATTATATTAAAGCATTTAAAGCAATAACAACACAATAATGGTTCTGTTGGACGCAAATATACAGGTTTTTGAGATCAGAGATAGAAAAAAAAGCAAATATTGAGCTGATTTCCTCTTAAAATATTGAACCTAATAATTATAATAAGCCCCAACTATTTGTAATTGTTGTTTCAGAATGATCATGAAAAATACAGTGTGAGGGAGTCAACTAATTCCAATTTAATACCTTCTAGAAAAATCGAGTTTGATTACGAAACAAGTAATATCAACAAGAATGATAAATCTTTAAACATTGAAAATAAAGAAAAGCCTAATTTAAATGATTTATACAACAAATTTTATAAATCATTTCGTAATGGACATTTTAGTACTAGTAAAGAAAATAAAATAACCAACGACGAAATTAAAAATGGTAACACAACTCAAATTAGTTCAAAAGATCAGAAAAGACAATCAGACAAGGAAAACAAAGATAATTATTTAAATAAGTATAAGAAAACAGTCAACGAAAAAAATGAAAAGGAGGAAGCTAAAGGAAGTAATTCTAAAAATAATACACCTGAAGACAAAATGTCATCAGATTATGAGAATAATAAACTTTGGATCAAAAAAAATAACACAGTGCCTTTTATACCGTCTAAAAAAGAATACAGTTATCCAGAAAAAAATGAAACTATCTTACACTATAATGATTTGAAAAAATATCTAAATCAAAATAAAAACTCTGAAGGTAAATATGAAAATTCGGTGCTAAGGGAATCAACTGAATATGATGAAAATAAGGATGGTAAATTAAATCATGAGTTTCCGGAAGATGTCTCGAATAACGATGTGAAATACAAAAAGCCCATAGATAATGAAAACATGGAAAAAACTTGGAGACGAAACACATTTGAAAACCAAACATCAAATAAAGAGATGAATGATTCCAGTGATAACAAAAAACCTTCAGATAACGAAAAAAAGTTGAATCAAGATAATTCAAAAGAATCGAATTTAAATAACGACTCCAGTATTTATAATAGAATTCCGAACACGGGCAACAGAATTAAATATAGTACAGCCAATGAAGGAACAATTTTCGTTACTAAAGATAATCAAAGCCAATCGAAAGATAACAAATCGATTATTTATGATAACAATAAGGTGCCTGGCGATGTAACTAAAGAAAACATAACAAATCAAACGCATTCGAAAAACAATAATCCGGATTCTAAGTCATTTCCAAAAGAAAAACAAAAAAATGAAATTGAAAAGCATCCGAACAACGTCAATAGTTCAATAACCGAGAGTACACCTCGTGCCGACTCGACGACTGAAAATAAACCAACTGGTAGTGGAGATAAAGGTATTGATGCTAATACTTTTAATACGACAAAACATACTACAAATTATGATACAAATCAAACGCATTCGCAAAACAATAATTCGGAGTCTAAGTCATTTCAAAAAGAAGATAAAAATAATGAAATCATAAATAATCCGAAGAACGTCAATAGTTTAATAACCGAGAGTACACCTCGTGCCGATTCGACGACTGAAAATAAACCAACGGGTAGTGGAGATAAAGATGTCGATGCTAATACTATTAATAAGCCAAAACCTAATACAAATTATGGTAATTCAACCACTGACTCGAATGAAAATAATACAATGAAAAATAATAATAATTCAACAAGTGGTAAAGATGATAACACTATCGCTGTCACTACGAAAACTAGTCCGTCAAATACAATGGTTAATGATCACACTAATGAATCTGGTGAAGTAAATGGTTCGTCCACAGAATCGCCGGTCGATGGATCGATAAACAATATTAAAACAAACAATAAATCGGAACCAAACGGTACAATTATAAACGAAACCAATAACATTAACAAAAATCTACAACCAGACCAATCGATACCGGTACCTAGTGCACATTCATCGGATAATGATGAAAGCGATAATTCAAAAACGACTAAAGATAGTACGAACCAATCAGAAAACGGCTTCAGTTTCGGTAATTTGTTTTCGAACATTTTCCCTAACGGTATACACGTATCTGCAGCTACAATAATTGGAGCGTTGTAAGTATGATCTATTAAAGTTTATGATAAAATGTAATAAATTATAAATAAATTTGTTTTAATATTCCAATATTTTAATGTTACAGAGCTTCATTGACAGTTGTTACTGGAGTGGTTGGAACAGGCATAAATCGTTATTATTACAAACAGACTGGTACAGATCAAATACCCTTCCAAGGAACAATCCAATCGATTTTTAATTGGATTAAAGTATGATATAAAACGTTTAAACGATGCAAACATTTTTTATGTTTCAACTTAATATTTTTGTTTCCAGGCTATTATTTTATTATTCTGCTGTTGTTGTCGTCGTGGTGGTTATGATGATTTAGAAGCACCAGACTTAACGAATGAAAAAACACCACTTTTACAGCCTAAATTTAATATACCAACACCGCTACTCGTAGACGAAACGTCTCAAAAATCTAGTGATAGTGGTGACACCGAGAATAGTAGTAAACAAAATAGTAATAATGAATATGGTAGTATGTCAAAGGAAAAGAAATCATCGACTTCTGAAAAAAGATACCGTAAAATTAAACGAAAATCGAAGATTTCAGATTCTCCTGAATCACTTGTGACAAATGTCGAAGAAAAACTTATTAATATTGAGAACAAATTGCAAGGAAAATCTATAAAAGAGGCTATAAGCGGAAAAATTAATACAATATTCACTGAAAAAGTAAAACCAACAATCAACAGTATTATTGAAAAAGTGGGGAAAAAAGTTGAATCAACTGAAGATGAAATTAAGAAGGACTTGGATAAAATATCTAGAGATGCAGCATTGATATCAAAACTTGTGGAAAACGAAAAGTCAACAAAAATTACTGCTGACGTTCCCGTGGATGTTGAAATCAAATCAGAAAATAATTCGGAAAAAACAAGTTTAAACGAAAACGAAACACAGAATGCTGCAGTTCAAGAAGATATCAAAAGTATAACGCTTGGTGAATCACAACAGTCTCCAAACGTTAAACCTTTGAGTGAAGTTATTGTTTCACAAGTGTCCGTACCGGATCTTCAACAAATTAAAAGGAATGAACAAACGCCCGACATGAAAACAAGTACAGAAGATAGAGTTGCTACCGAAAAACTAATCGAAAGTACACGTAACAAAAAGGATATCGATGTGAAAAATATTCTAGAAACCGTCGTTACGTCTCCCACAGACACTAAAACTAGTATTAACGAATCGAAATTGAAGTTCTTGGGATTGGAGAAAGAAGATAAAAATGTGGAAAAAGTGGAAAAAGTGGAAAAAGTGGTGACTGACGAAGCCATTGGAACCGATAAAAAGATTGAAAATGAAGAGGATGACGTTGAAGTTATTGAAGAAATTATATACATCGACGGGACTGAAGGTGACGAAGGTGAAGAAGAAATTATTGAAGAAATAATAGAAACTACAGTAGTCGAAGATTCACCGGACGAATCTACACCTGGGAAAACCAAGGTCACGGTCCGGACAACTCGTAAAATATCGTCATCTTCGTTACCCGGCGAAGTGAAAACCATCGAAGAGACCGTGGTCACCGACGGTATACCGGAAAATGAGGAAAAACCGTCTGGTTTCCAGTTTGGTGTCGGGAAATCCGGAATCAGCATGAGCGTCGGCGATAATAAGATGGAGATCGGTAAGTCCGGATTGAATTTCACCCGCAGCAAAAGCAAATCGCCGAAGAACGTGGAAGGCGACGAGCCCGACAAGCGGGACACAAAGTCCCCGGAAAAGTCCAAGAAGTCTATGTCGATGCCCAAAATATTTAAACGGTCGATCTCTCAACCGTCGGACGACGACATCCAAGAAGCCGACGAGTCTGCGGCTGCTAAAAAACTGCCCCGGACAGGTTCCGGCCTGTTGAAATTAGGAAAATCGCGATCCAAACCCACGTTGGTCCTAAAGACGGGTGACGTGACGATGGACGCGGACGCGATGTCAAACTTTATGGATAACGAACGGAATGCGTCGCGTATATCGCCGAATGTAGGACCAGGGGAATTGGATTTAAAGGTCGGCGATAAAGGTGTTGCCGCCTCGGTGGTCGTACGTAAGACGTCCACGACAACTTCCGGAGGAAAAGACAGTCCGGTGACCACGGAAACCTTAGATATAATAACACCTGTTGATTTAGGGTTCGGGTCGGATAGAGGCGGACAATCGACCAAGAATGCCGAAGCCAAGTCGAACGCCAAAACCAAACGCGAGAAAAAAGACAAAACGAAATTAACGACTATAACGCGGCCGTTTTAGATGTACACAATAAATCTAAGGAATAGTTTTATACTTACCGTGTAAGAAACCGAATTATTAATGGTTTTTTTGTTCATTATTTTTAGTTAGGTTTGTAATAAATGTTTTCCGTCGTACATCGACGCGAACTATATCGGTTGGAATTTTAAATTCAACACACACCGCTGTACAATATTGTTAATGTTTCGATTTTTTTTTATAAATTCAACATTGATTTTATTTGTGCACATTATTATACTTCTATACTGAAATTTGTTCAACTAAGTTTAATACCATGTTTTAATAACTAATTGTCGCTCGTTATTTTCTTACAGTTCACTTATTCTTTCTTGTATATTTGTAATTAAAAATTATATCCAAGAGTTAAATTGTTTTTATATAGGTATAACATTAAAAATTCAAAATACTAGTTTAAAATGTTGGATAGAACACTACTTGATTCTCATAAATGTATTGTATCAATTTATTATTAATCGTATCAAATTATTGGGCTTTAGAAGGTAATCGCAACTATTTCTGAATTGATTTATGAATGACCCAAACTCAAACATCGACAAAAAGTATGATCAATTTACGGTATTGGGTTAATTTTAATTAAGTTAATGCGTCATATCGTAAAATTAAAAAAAAATTTAACATAATAAATAATAAGTAGGTACATTTTTCAAAGATGATTTATTGATGCAGAATGATTATAATTATTTTAATGATTATAAATTTATAAGCTCGTAGACTCCGCTCAAAGTCAATTTTATGTCATGTCGATTATAATTCGTTGAGTCCGATTTAAATCACAAGTTATTGTGTTCATTGATTTATTTTTGTTAAATAAATAAATAAATAATATAAGTAAAAGTCTCGATATTTCCACGAATAAAATCTATTAATAAATCGAACTTTAAAGTTACATACAAAGGTGTAAAATTAAAACCGATAAATCAATATAAAATCACGGATGTATAATATAATATTTATAATATACGAGTTAGGATATCAGATACATTATAATTTATAAGATAAACGAACCGGTGAAACACGATTGCGTACGGTCTTTATTGACATACGCAATCGTGAACATTTAATGTTCACGGTTGCGTACGATTTTTATCTGCAACTTTGAAGCACTGTTGCCATTTGCTTTGAACTAATAGAACATACAATTTAAAATTAATTGAGAGGCGATAGGTGATATTTGATAGGCGATAACGAAATCGGGTATTTTACTAGGATATTTTAGGATACTCGCACCCGATAAAATATGTATACTGCAATATGCGTATCGTTTAATAAACGAAGTCAGTGAAGAACCGTCGTGGGATTATCAACCTCTTAGCGTGTTCATTTGTAAATACTATTATTATTATTTTTGTTGTCTTTATAATTCAGCAACTACTACCTTTTTAGCACTTGATAGCATTAAGTAAAATACATATTTTTTCTTCTTTAAAACACAACAATTTGTGTTGATTTAAGAATTTAATTTTGATAAAACAAAAACTACACACGGGCGAAGCCGGGTAATTCAGCTAGTATAGTATATTATAACATTTTTTGTCAAAAATTGAGTTTTTAAGTGGTACCATAACTTAAGTAATTTTTTTAAAATTTAAATTTTACTGATTACACATAAAAACATAAACTTGGCAACGTTGCACAACAAATCATACGCAATCGTTTGACTTTTGGGGTAAATATTAAAGTTAATGGTTTAACGTACGCAATCGTGTTAACGTACGCAATCGTGTTCTTAAAAAGGTACATCGTACGCAATCGTGTGGTACCCAAACGAACTGCCTTTTAGAATTATAAATGCAAGTACTGCAGTATAATAGAAAACGTATATACCTATTACCTGGATACTGGGGGGGGGGGGTCGTACCCCCACAGCATTTGGAAATGATAATACTTTGGGAATATTTTAAAGTACTTGAATAATGAATATTTGACTAAAAATATTTTATAAATATTTTCTTCTCATTATAACAAAATGATATATATTGTACTATAAGATTGCATAACAATGTTGACTTAATATTTTCATAAAGTTTCCCTAAAAATATTTTTTGAAAAAATATAATTAAAATGTTTTAATAAAATGTTAAATAAATAGCTGGTCGTATAAAAATCGTTTTGGAGATTAATTATGGAATTGAAATCCAAAATTATTAATATTTTAGGGATTTTGCTTATTAATCCTTAAGGATGTTATTAAATGTTATTAGTTAATGTTATATAGTTATTTCTTTGACTATTCGATCAATTTCTGGAAAAAAAACGATTAAAATATAATAACCACAGGTGTCGATAATGTTTTCTTGTATAAAATGTAATAATCGTAAAATTCTGTCAATGTAGTGTACACCACAACAACTACGACCTCCAAGGTTCCAAACATTGGTGGTCTATTTATGTGGCGATGTGTGATTGCGGCTAACACCATTGCTTAAAAAAAACTAGTACATTGGCATTTGGTAGGTACTATTTATACTCAATACTAACACATTACCTATAAGAGATTTGTCTGACTCGTGATGATATACCTACTTATGTTCATCCGTATAATTTATTACTTTTTATAATTTATTGAGCGTTTAAATTTATTGAGCAAGATAACAAAAAAAAATGTTAGAGAAGGCAATGGTTAAAAGGTCATTAATAGGAATTCAAGGAATACGTGTCATTTTCAACTAGGGTTTTATATGTAACTAGATATATAATTATTAACAAGGTAATTCCTGAACTAAGGCTTTAGATGTTGATAAATCATTCATTATCAATATTTGCTATGATATAATATATTAATATGTAATCAATACAATAATACTAATCAATACTAATAATCTTTATTAGTCATTCAAATCCCAAACGGCTCCTGTTTTTTACAACACAAATTCCCAATACAACTTCTCAACACATCTTCCCATACTTCATACAGACTATATTCTGACTTAGGAGTTAGGACTGTTTCAAAAGAGCAGATGTGGTTGAAAATGTGTTGGTGTTTTTTTTAAGGTTATATTCTATTATTCTAAGTAAATCATAAAAATTATATAAAAAAATCATATATTGTGAATTAAATTTTATTAAAATAATATTAAATTTTAGCGTTAAAAAATAGAAAAAAATCGTAAAAAAATGTATCTAGGTATATGTAAAAACTAAAAATATAAAAATTATACATCGGGTAAATTTTTGAAGCACTATATTTTCATTTAATCAATTCATGTTATTTCATTCCACGAAAATTCTTCAATAATGTTTCCAATGAGCCCCTGTTTTCTTTTCGATTTAGGTGTATTTTAATTTATATACATATTTTTTTCAATTTCAATTATACAACGGTATACAGTATATCTACTGGTATACGGTATATCGATATATCCACCTCAAATCGGTATACTGGTATTATCGTCAGCCGTTTGGGAATTTACCTGTTCGTATAATACCTTTTTCGTCTGGAGCCTTTGGGACATTTATCTGTTCGTAATACGGTTTTTGGCGGGAGCAGTCGTTTGGGATGCACCGATAATATTTAATTTGTTGGGCTGATTGCTGATTAGTTTAATATAATACAATGTTTATGTGTTACTTGAAACTTTTAAGTCTATTATTATAATTTACGATACACGCAATGATATTTAAAAAAATGTACAAGATTAATTTAAATAGCTACCTATTTATTTATACCGCGAACCTATTCACACCGTTCTTCGGTACATTGACTCATAAATTAATAACACAAAATATATATTATAAAATCAATAAAAACTCCGCGTTTGCAAATATTTATCATTGAATTCAAATTCAACACATATAGATACATACGCAGTGTCTGTATACTGAATGACGAGGTAGGCACATTCGACACCTAATGTACAGCAGAGTGGTTCTAATCGAATATCGTCAATCCGAGTGACTTGGAACAATTTTGACCTTTTAACTATTTTAACACATTCATTATTGATAATTAAATTTTGTAAAAAATCATGCAGTGTCGCACACCTCCAAGGAATAGATTGAACAAAAAAAATAAAAATAAATTTCTTAAGTAAATTAAGGTAAAAAAAAAATAAAAAGTGCTTGTTCCAAGTCAGTAGTCACCCATAACTCCGGGTGACTTGGAACATGCGTTTTTTTCAAATGCAGATTGCATTTAATCATTTGTGGAGGGTCACTTCGAACGCTGCAATTATTAAAAAAAAAAAGTGTTAAAAACCATATTTTTTTTAATTTAAAAACTAATTAACATAATTATTATATAACTCGTTATAAAACTAGGTACATATTTACTACCAAATAATACTTTTTTTTATAAGTTGCAGTCTTTGCTCCTAAAATAAATTTAACCAACATATTTATACAACCAAACTTTGTATACAAAAAAAAAAAATTCAGTACCAAGTAATATAGGGACCCATGTTCCAAGTAACCCACTTATTTTTTACGGAAAATAAAAACAACCCTAAAACATTTAAATAATACTATTTCCTAATTCCACTTAACGATTAACACTAACAACACATTACGAATTCACTAAAAAATAACAATAATGGTTTTTTGAAGCTGAAGTAACACTTTCGAAGCTCTTAATTTAGGAGTTGAAAATTTGGATTTTTTTTATTAAATTATTTTTGTATCACATGGCTTATTGATAAGGGATAACACATTTTTAATGATAATATAACGTTCCAAAAAACATTGTTGTGGAAGCAGAATTTTATTTCCCTTATCTAGCATAAAATTAAAAACTGTTATTAAAAAATAACACAGTTGTTCCAAGTCACCTCCCAGTTCCAAGTCGCTCGGGTTGACCTATAATAATAGATGTAATATTGTGATTTTGATGAAAAAAACGTATTTGTAGATTTATAATGATCATTTGAATTACCTATCACCACTTAGTGTAATATAGCCTGATGTGACTAATCTACCTTTGAACTTATACTTTACCTGTAAACTAGGTAAACCTAGCTTTCTATAAGGGCGGTTTGCGTTTGGGC